CCCCATCCCTCATCCCACTAGCTCAGCCCACTGTCTACTTGCTTACCAGTGATAGGCCTGCTCCCGGTACCCAGCATCCTGGAAGCCAGAGCTGATGAACATGTCCTTGTAGACACGGCCACACATGCAGTATAGGTCGGGTGCCACAGAGCCCTCAAACTGTACCAGTGGCAGCAGCACAGCCAGTGCCTTCTCCCGGTCCCCAGGCCTGTTCCTCCTAGGTGAAGGAGAAAACGGGCTGGGGACCTGCCCGACGGCCCTGCCCCACTCTGTCCAGGGACCTGCAGACCTTGAACATCAGAGACCCTTCCAGGGGCCTGACAATAATGAACCCAGAATGGCAGTGACCCTGGTCAGCACTGACCTTTCTAGAGGTAGTGATCCCAGGTGGAAGTGATTCCTAGCTACAATGACTCAGGATCAGTGACGTTGGACAGCTGTGACAACTCCAAGGGCAGCGCCACCACCCCACCCCACCCTGGGCAGCAGTAACCCAGAACAACAGGGACCATTTGACAGCAAATGGTCAGCATATTCTCTGAATAGCAGTGATCCCAGACAGCAATGACCTCGCACAGCAGAGACCTATGTCCCCAAGTGGCTATGACCCAAGCCTTGCTTTGCCACTCACCGGTTGAGGGCAAACGTGTAGTGGAAGCAGATGTTGTGCTGTTCGGCCACATCACAGGTGGGCAAGGCCTGCAGTGTTTCCACCAGTTCAATGATGGCCGAGTAGTCCTGCATGAGGGAAAAGCACACACTGGCATGATGGCCTCTGGTGGGTCCTGTGGGCCCCAAGACCCTGAGGAAAACCTGGAGCTGGGGTCTCCTCCCACCCTTGACACCCCATCTTCCCCCACCCACTCACCATCCTCTGCACACCTCCCTCAGGCCCAGCAGGTGGTGCAGACACCACACCTTACATGGAGAACACACTGCATGCCCCAACCTCACAACTGCCCTGGGAGATGGTGACATGACCATCCCCTATTACAAACAAGGAAACTGAGGCTCAGAGACATCAGATAATTTGCTCAAAGCCGCCAGTGAGTGAGTAGCACAGCCAGGAGCTGAACTCAGGTTGGTCTGACACCTAATGCCATCGCCCCGACAGCATCTGCGAGGACCACACACCTGCACGTCGCGGTAGGAAAGCAACAGGTTCATGATGATGTCGGGGCTCAGCAGCTCCACGCTGTCCAGTCTCCGCTGCAGGCGAGCCAGCTCCTGCCGCAGCTGCTGTCCGCTGAACCGCTCCCGGGCCTGCCGGATGTCCTGCCGAATGGTCTCTCGGAAATAGCCGCTGATGCCCGCAGCAAGGGAGGGAGGGAGAGAGAATGGTGGGGCCCTTCCCTCAGCCCCAGCCTGCTGCACCCTCACCAGCCTCCTCCTGGTACACCTTCTCTGTAGGCCCCCATTACCAAGAGTCCGTGGGCGTGGCCTCCAGGAGACGGGCAAGCCGGGCCACCAGGGGTGTGAGCAGGGCCTCACTGCCCACCCCAGCCTGTACTAGCCCATCAGCCAGGCCCCTCAATAGGCCTGCATCACCACACAGCACCCGGCCAGTGGCTGTCACCACGTAGGGGATCAGCGTGTAGCTGCCAACACAGTCCTGGAGGGAAGGAGGCAGGAGTCAGTGGGGAGGTCAGAGGTCAGCACCAGGTTAGAGAGGGGCAGTGAAGGGGTCAGAGGTCAGCACCAATGGAACTGGAATAGCAGGGAAGGGGCACACCTCATGAAGGGAGGCAATAGGGAACAGAGGGTCACAAGAATGTCAGGGGACATTAGCGAGGTCAGAGGTGACTGAGGAGGCAAATAAAGGTAGTAGAGGTCAGAGGTCATAGTGGAGGTCAAAGGGCACATTAGAGTGAGGAGCGGATTCTGCTTACCGAGTTCTTCTGGAAAACATCCTCCTGCAGGGGACAGATAGATACTGGTGTTCTGGGTAGGCCCCACCCTAGCCCTGTGCCTGCCCCTGCCAGCCACCTGGCCACCTACCCTCAGGGCCTGCAGGTCAGGGAGATCAGCCTGGGAGCAGAGGAGCACGTTGTTGGTCATGCTGAAGCTCTCACGCACACCGAGGTGGTAGAACAGGGAAGGCTGCGCTAGGGAGCTGCTCACCTCCAGCACCACCACGTCTGTGGGCACACAGGCGGAGGCCCTGAGCCCTGAAGCCCAGCTTGGTGGGGAAGGAGCCTGGGGATCCATCCGGGCTTGGCCCCCTTTCCTGTGTGACTCCAGCAGGGTCCAATTTTGCTCTGGGCCTCATTTTCCCCCTTTAGGGTCCCTCTGGCTCTTACACAGAACTGTTATCTGTGGTGTTGCAGGAGAAGAGTTGGGCTCAATGGGCTAGGACCCTCATCCCACTGTTCAGAGCCTGTGGGCACTGGGCATGGAGGAGGGGAGGTGGTGCACCAGCCCAGAAGCTGTTCCAGGCCATTTGAGAGGCAGGAGTTGTTCAAACACAGAAGTTCCCTTCCCTGGGACTTCAACCCCGCCTTATGAAAGAGGCAGGCACCAGCAGTGTGTGTAGACAACACTGTGCCTCTATGTGTGCCTGTGTGTGTAGCTTACTGTGTCTGACTGTATCTCTGTGTGCCACAGCATCTGCAGGGCCGGTGTAAGTCAACATTCATGCGATTTGTGAGTCTATGACTCTGTGTGTGTCTTTTTGTCCTCGAGGTCGAGTCAGCCTTCATTTTTAGGCTGCGATTTTATGGACATCCGGCAAGCATGCTTCTCGGACTCTCGGATGAACAAATAAGTATCGGGGGCGGGGCGTCCGGGATGGCGGCAGGGAGGGGTGACCCGCGCGGGAATAGCCGCCTTCTGGCCCCCCACCTGACAACCCCCTGCCCCGCCTCTAGCCTCGCCCACTCTCCGGGGGCTGCTGGGGCCTCATAACCTAAGCTCCCTCGCCCACAGTCCAGTCCTTTGGGATCTCTTCGCTTCCCTCTCTGTCTCCCTAGCCCGATCCTCGGAAGCAGTATGCTAGGACCCTTGCACTCCAGCCTCCCATGTACGGCCCCTTTCCCTAGTCCTAGCTCCACCTCCCAGGACCCGCCCTCAGGAGCTCCGCCCGAGTTCATCCTGAGGCTGAGCTCTCTAACCCCACTCTTGAGATACCACACTTTGCCCCGCTCCCCAGGCACCGTGCAGACTCCGGAGTGCTTAAGCCGCAACCCTGAACCCCGGAGCCGGGCCTGGATCCGCTAAGTCCCTGCCCGAGCCCGGCCGCGCTCCAGATCCCCTAGATTCCACTTTTATCACAGTCCAGCCTCGAGCCCCTCAGCTTTAGCTCGCCTTATGCCCCCTAGACCCCGCACCCATCTCTGGGTCTCCCGAGTGTCGCCGAGCTCCGCCCCCTTGGGCCCCGCCCAAGACCCTAAGCCCCGCCCCGGATCCCGGCCCCGCCCGCAGCGCGCGCTCACCCGCGTTGTAGAAGGAATCCAGCGCCGCCGTGTCTCCCAGCGCCAGCGTGCCGAAGGGCAGGCTTTGCAGCTGCGGCCGCGGCCTCGACCCGGGGAGCTGAGCGCAGGCCTCGCGCAGGCAGCGTAGGGGCAGCGGCTCCGCCTCGACTACCGCCTCGGGCTCCACCCCGGGCTGCGGCTCCCGGGTCAGCACGTAGACCACGCTGAGCGGCCGGCTTCGCCCGCAGCCCCGGCCTGGGGGCGCCGCGATCGGCCGGCCCCGGCTCAGCGCCTCGGCCAGCGGGTCCTGCCAGCAGCTGCCGGCGCGCTCCAGGGCCCCCGCCCGCGGGCACGGCCCCGCCATGCGGGGGCGCTCGGGCGTCTGGCGCCCGGCTCTGGGCACCCGGGGCGCGGCAGGAGGCAGGGGCGGCGGGTCCAGGGATCTCGGGTTAGGGAATCCGGTCGGGATCGGAATCTCCTACGGGATCTGGAGATCCGGAGTCCCGGTTCCGGAAATCTGCAGTCCAGGGCGAAATCCGGGCTCCGAATTGCAAGGTCCTGAGGACCTGAAATCGGGAATTGGGTCCCAGGAATCTGGGGCATCCAGAGATCCGCGGCTCAGAGTTACGTGGGGATCCCGGGAATCGGTCCGGCGGTGTCCGCCACCAGGAATCCTCAGTAAAGCTCCCGCAGTTGCTCTCTCCTGCCCTCACATACAGGCCGGGCCCAGCCCTTTCCCGGCGGACTGGGAAAGCTCCACCCTCGGCTTTGGGGCAGCACCGCTCCCTAGCGGCCCGGGACTTGGCCTCTCCCCTCCCACCTCTCCCTCCAGAACTTCTGAGTCTGGCCGCTTCCGGAACAGCCTGTGCCCCTGTGCGCGCCAACGGCTGTGGGCTGCTCACAGCAGAAGCTCATAGGATGTGTGCCCAGGCCAGTACTAGGGAAGAGGCGTGAATTGCAGGCCCTGTCCTACAGGGATCTGTTGAATGAATGGATCTCCAAAGAAATCTCCAGGGTTTGCCGAACACAGTAAAGAGTGGGCGTCCACCAGGGCCCTGCTGTGCAGGCAGGGAGGGACTGGAATGGGGGAAGCCTGCTCCTCGGCCTGCCAGGAGGCCCTCAGCCCTGGTATGGGACTTGGCATCTGAGCCCTGGCCTTTGCCCTCTTGCCAGGGGGCTGCTTTCCCCAGAATCCAACCTGCTGACCTTTGACCTCCACCCAGAACATGACCTTGGGACCTGAGAAGAGTCCTCACCCAAACATTTCTCTACCCATCTGAAGGCAAACCCCAGAAACTCCAGCCTTTGGGCTACAATAGCTTCCCAGCTCCAAATTCCCAAGAATCCCTAACCTTCTAGTGTGAATTAGTGAGACAGCAACCTGGTGTAAACCTCAGTGGACTCTGAAATCAGGAACTGGGGACTGAGAGAGGTTGAGTAACTTGTCCAAGATCACTCCACTACACGACAGAGCAGGATGCAAACCCAGGACTGCCTGTCAGATTGCAGATATAAGACTCTTTCTTTATTGCTCTGCCACTTTACAGTCTGTGGCTCTGGCAAATTAACTGCTCGACAAATGATAGCTCAGTAACTGCTGTTTCACTACCCTGTTGCCCCATGGAAGAGAAATGTACCCTCCTTGGTTTGACCCTGAGTTCATCCAGCCCCTAATGGGACAGGCAAAGAAGTAGCAGAAGATAAGAACTCGGCTTACAACAGAGGCTGGGGTGGAAAACAGACAACCTAGAAGGGACAGGTATGGGGCAACAGAGAGCGTGAGAAAGCTGTGTGATCCACACCACAAAACCATCCACTTGCAGGACCTGGTTTTGCATTGTCAGTGGATGCTTGAATCCCTTCCAAGTCCTTCACTAAATGCTCCTCTGGTCCTGGCTTGCACACCTCCAGAGATGAAAGCCTCACTACCTTAGGAGGTCAACCTTTCCATCTTCCCGATTGGAAGGAAGGTCTTCCTTGAATGGAGCTGAAACCTGTGTTCCTGCTCTACCTTCTTGAGTTTTCCCCAGTGACTACAAGAGTCCTGCAAGCCAGGAAAGGGTTAAAATGATTTTATTTTTAAATGTGGATAGGAGAGCAGAGGCGGTTAGCAATAGGGAGGGGTAGCCGAGGGTTCGGAAGCTGTACAGGAGAGATAAGGCTGCTGGCTGCCAGGGTGCCCTAGCGAAGCATCATGCGAACCCTGCGGTAAGGGTGGCCAACGCCAAGGCCTGAGGCCCAGTCTATGCCATACTTGTGGGCGGTGGCCTGGGACGCCGCGTAGCGCCCGTTGAGATTGGATCGATAGCAGGATGCATACCACCAGGCACCGTGGACAGTCACAGCGCAGTTGCTTCCACTTGAATCATGGTCAGCGTCGTGGGTGGTAAAGGACTTACCGCTGTGGAAGCTCAGGGAGTCCCCTGGCAGGGAGGGGAGAGGAGGCATCTTGGTGCCTGGCATCATGCCTGGCACCATTGAAGAGATGATCTTGCAGGAGCCTCAGATCAACTGTGAGGTGGATGTTATCAGGCCCCGTGAGAAAACAGCGGTGCTAAGGAGCCAGGGTGTTTGCCCAAGATCACTCGACTAGTCAGAGGGGCACTGGGACTTGTATCAGGACTGTGGCTCCAAAGCCACTAGCTCCTCCCCCTGCCTTATCCCCTCCCAGAATCCCCAGCTTCCCTCTAGCTCCTTTGTCTCCACCCAGCTGCCATCGGCAGCCTGAGCACCTCTGCCAGGGAGAGCCGGGAGGGACTTCTCAGATGCCTGGGCAGTGAAGGGGCTCCCCTAAGGTACCTCCTCATAACCACTTCCCTCTTTCAAGTTTCCCCTCAGCAGTCACTGTTTCTCTGAAAAAAAGCCTTCCCTGGTTCCTCTTCCAAAGCAGATAATGCTAACACTCAACAGAATCTCAGATGGCTCCCACAACCGCCCTCCCTGCCTCCCTGCCCATTTAGGGGGAGGAAACTGAGGCTCTGACGCAGAAGGGACTTGCCCAAGGTCACATAGTTAGTAAGTGACATAGCTGGATTCAAACTCCGGTCTGTTTGCCTCCAGAGCCCAAATTCTTCACTCCTGCACCACTCTGTCTCACGATTGCCATTTCCCGGAAGAGTAAACTGAGGCCCACAGAGGGGAAGGAATCACCCTGGGTCATTCATGGAGCCAGTGGCAGCGCTGGGAAAGGATCCAGCTTCCCTCGCCTTCTTCCCCTACTCCAGGGCCCACCTTAGGGTCACTCACCTGCAGTGCCCTTTAAGAACTTGCCCAGCACCAGCTGGTAGTGATCTGCCTCCCCAAGGAGGCGGAAGGACGCATAGTGGGCAAAGGTGCGGTTGCCATGAAAGTCCTCCAGCTCCACCCGCAGCTCCCAGATACCTGAGGGAAGAGGGAGGCAGGGACGGAGGGATCCTCAGATCCCAGAATGCCAGAGGAACGCCCCTCAAGCTCCCTAGACCCTGCTGGGAACTTACCCTGGAGAGTAAGCTGGTGCAAATTCTCATTGCCCAGCCAGAATTCGGAATCCTGGCTCCCAAAACCTGCTTTGTAGGAGGACCAAGAGCGGAAGAAATCTACAGAACCGTCCTGTCGCCTCTGGAACACCTAGGGAGGCAGAGAAGGCCCTCACACCAGCTGTTACTCCAGGCTAGGCGTGGGGGGGAGGAGGAGCAGGGGGCGGTGGCAGCTGAGTGGGTGCACTGTGGGGGGTGGGCGGACACCCCCCCTTTGGATTGGGGGCTTGTTGATGAAGTGTGAGTCCAAGTAGGCTTTGCCTCTGACTACGCTGATGAACTCTACATTCCCTTATTCACTTTTACTGACACTCAAGTTCACACCAAAGCCTTGCGAGCCCTGGAGGAGACTGAAACCATAGAAACATCGTCCCCGCCTTCGGGAGCCGGTCAGTCCTGCTGGGAGTCAGATTCGAAATAACCTGCTTTAATTTACTATGATAAGAACCAAGATATTAGAGCAGAAAGGTCACCCCCAGAGGCCCAAGCTGGACTCCCAGCCTTACCCTGATGCTCCCTGCACTTCCTCCTTCAAGCCAAGCAGTCCCCGGGCCCGGTAGTTTCCCTCCTACATATCTTTCAGTCTAAGTGTGTCTGTTTCCATTGCTGCCACTGCCCTCTGTCTTCTCCTGCCCAGACCTCTGCAGTCCTCCTAACCTGTGTCCCTGTCTCCACTCTTGTCCCCCACTGCCATGCATCTTCCACGTTGTAGCCTGAGTCATCTTTCCAAAACATAAGCCTGACCTGGTCTCTCCCCTGCTTAAAACTCATCCTTGGATCCCCATTGCCCTCCATGCTCCTCAGTCAGTCATTCAGTGCCCTCCATGAACTGGCCTTGGCAGAGGCCCTCAACCTATGCTTGACCCACACCAGTAGACCTCAGCCGACCACTCATACCTGCTCTTAGCTCACTCACACAGTCCCCTCAAACCCTCTTGTACTCTCCTGCCTCACTGCGTTTGTCTTTCCCTCTACCTGGAATGCCCTTCTGTACCTCATCTGTCAGAGAACTTCTATACAGCCTTCAAGGCCCTTTCAAATGGCACCTCCTCTGTGAAGCCTTCTCAGACTTCTTCAGGGGAGCTCAGTAAACGTTTGTCAGTGAGTTACTCTCAAGAATGCCTTGGCTCCCGTGGGCTCTGGCTCCCCCTAGAGGCCACGGGGCAGAAGTGCTCACTGGGCCTAGCCTGGGATTCCCGTCTCCATCTGACACTCACCAGCCAGCCACCCCCTTCCGTGTCCATGTCACAAAAGACAGGGAGGGCTCTGCCCTCAGGTAGGCACAAATGGTACCAACCACTCAAGGTGGCACCCTGGGTCAGCAGCTCCTGGCAGCTCCTGGGGGCTGGGGAAGGGGAGATGGACTGAGGGTTTCCCCAAGTTATGCCCCAACCCCCACACCACAGGCAATGAAACAGGCCAGGTGTGGAACTCCAGGAGCCCTCTCGGCTCCTTCGGGCCCCTGAAAGGGGTTCTAAGGAGGGCTGGGCCACACCAGGTGGCCCACCAACACCCCAACACCACCTGATTCCAAGTTCTCGGCTCTTGCAAATGCTGCCTCACCCTCCTGGCACCGGAGCAGGGTCGCCGGATGTCCTGCTCCAGGGAAAGACCGAGTGTTGACTCTGAGGTCTGACACCGCCAGGGGAATGCCCAAGAACCACCTGAGGGGAGAGTGCCCAGGCCCTTCTAACCCTCCCAACTCCTCCCAGCCTTCCATCCCCCTGTGGGAGGGAAGTCACAGCCAATCCTGAGCAGCAGCCAAGCAGAGACAGTCCCCTCTCTAGTCCAGGGACAGAAGCAAAGAAAGGAGAAGAGAATCCGGTCCCACACACTCACCAGGCTCACCCTTGGGGCCCATCTTGCCTGGTGGTCCAGGTTGCCCTGAAATCCCAAAGGCAGAGATGCTTTAAGTCCCACCCGATGCCCTGGGGCTGAAAAGCAACGAGGGATTCAGAGCCAGACATCAAATCCCAGCTGCACCCTTTACTGGCTGTGATTGTGGGCAAACTACCTATCCTCTCTGAGCCTCACTTTCCCTTTTAGTAAAATGGGGATGGTACCACCTACCTTGCCAAGTTGATCCTAGAATGCTGGCACCCAGCCTAGAGCCCAGCACACAGTAGGTTCCTCTCCCTTTGTCACGGCCTCTCAGCACAGACAGTAATTGCTGCACCCCCAGCCCCCCCAGTTTACCCCAGGTCCCTGCCTGCTCCTCCATATCTCTCACCTTGAGGACCTGGAGGTCCCTTCTCCCCAGGACTTCCTGGGGCTCCAGGACAGCTGGGCAGGAGGACAACTTTGCTGGTTTCCAGTTCCCTGGGTTCTGCAGGAGACGCAGGGCCGGGTGGGCACAGAGAGGGCATGGGGGGAGTGGGCATGTTCCTCCCAGACCCCCCTGCAGTCCTCTTTCCATTTCCCAGATTCTAGCTGTCAGGACACTTGCTCCGGAGCTGGCAAGGTTTTGCACTATTTGCATTCATTTATGCGCAGAGCCCAGATTATCCAACTCTCACCATCCTCCTTGAGGCTAGTGAGCCTGGGTGGGAGAAGGACACCCAGGGAGGGAATGAGGGTGGGTTCCTGGGGAGGGCACCCTGGACCCCTACCTGGGCAGCTAGGGTGGTCCTGGGTCTTCAGGCAGGCAGCCTTCCCAAGCAAGAGGAGCAAAAGGGAGAGTGGGGTCCACAGTAGGCCCATCTTGCTGGTGCCCCTGAGAGACGACGCCCGTTTATAAGGGCCAGGCTGGTGGGAGGACGTGAAGCAAGACTTCCTTCAATTGTCTCTCCCCAGGGACACCCCACCCAGGCTGGAGTCAACAGGAGGTGGGGGCATTTCCTCCCTCAGCCCTTGAGAGAATGGGTGTTATCTCTGTCCTGTCCAACCAGGATGGAGTCCAACTTCTGACCTTGGCCTCCAGGGCTCCCCAGCCATCTCTCCAGCCCGCTAGATTCCCATAGGGATTTTCTGCCTTTGAACCTTAGTTCATTCTGTGCCTTCCATCTGGAATGCTCTCCTCTTCATCTCTACCTGTGAAGCTCCGCCTGTCCACGACAGTCCAGCCATAATGCCATCGCCACTAGGAATCCTTCCCCCATCCTTGACAACAGTACTAAAAATGACCACTGCTACCATTTGTTGGGCACCTACTGCACTCCACAAGTCATGCTGGCTGTGCTTTGCACATCGCCTCCGATCCTTACACAGCCCTGCTCATCGTCATTATTATTGGCCGTGGGTTATAGGCCTGGTACAAAGCACATGCTCAATAAATATTGGTTAAATGAATGAATAAACAAGGAAAAACTGAGGCCTAGAGACAGGACATGACTTGTGCTCTCTGGCAGTTATGTGCCCTGAGTCACAGAGATTTTGCCCAAGTCCATGTCCCCTACCAGGGAGAATCACCCTTAGCAAAGCAACTTCATGCCCACCCTCAAGTCCGTTGGAGAGCCCCTGGCAGCGCCTAGCAAACAGCTGCTAATATAGGCCAATCGCATGGGCAGCCCATGCAGGGCAGGCCTGGAGGCTGGGAGGCCAGTGCGGAGGCAGCAGCCATGGTCCAAATGTGAGGGGTGAGGTCTGAGCTGGACAGAGACCTCTGGTCATAGGGGAGGAAAGGGAAGGCTCCTTCATCTGTTCATTCATTCATTCATCAAACCCTCCCTGAGGGCCTCCTCTATGCCAGGCCTAGTGCTTGTAGGGGTGGGGAGGGATGAGATCCAGGGGGTGTCAGGGAAGGGGGATGCTGAGCTTGCCAGACAGGATAGATACACGAGATGGCCTCTCTGAGACCCTGCCTTCCAGTTCTAGCGATCTGTCCTTCCCGAACTCTCCCACAGGCGTGCCAAGATCTGCGGACAAGCCTGTTTATCACGGCGCTGCTTCTAATAAGCAAAGCGGAAATGACCCAACTGGACGCTGAGAGGATGCAGGTGTAAATTATCACCATCTGGACGAGTCATAGGGCAAATCTGATCTCTAACGAAAGGGACAAAGTGGCAGAACAATATGTATAAACGATCCCACTTTGTATTTTAAAAAAGCTAAATGTGTGTCTGTATGTTGTAAATTCACAGGAAAAGGTCTGAAACATACTGTGAACCATCGTTATTTCTGGGGAGTGGGACCAGAGGAAGAGCAATTCTCACTCTTTATATAAACCTCTGTATCGCCCTTTTGTTCCTTACAGGCATTTACCACTTTTGAAAAAGAAAACATCCAGTAAAGAAATTTCCTTAACTGGGTGAAAGCCAGCAGGAGATGGGGGCATTTCCTGCCTCAGCCCCAGAGAGAATGGGCATTATCCCTGCCAGCACTTAAGTGCTGGCTGGAAAAGCCAGGGGAGGGTGGTCCAGGAATGAGAAACTGTTTGTGCAAAGGCTTGGAGAAGAGAGACAGCGAGTCAGGCTGGGTAACCAGAGGTAGATCCAGGAGGCTGGAGGTGTGGCTCGAGGGGAGGCTGATGTCTGAGAGAATGGGGGGCTTTGGTGAAGTGAGTGTGGAGGAAGAGGGGCATTGTGGATGGTGGTGCCATGTGTAGGCAGGCAAGCCCTCTGTGAGGCCTGCAGGGAGGCTAGGCCTGGGAGAGGAAGAGCATAGAAGCTCCACCGCAGGCTGCACAGCTGAACGTGTGGACAGGTGTCCTGGAATGAAGCAGATGGAGCACATGCGCCTGCTCTGAGCCTTCCCCACATCCCACTGAGATGGATACTGCTGTTACCCCACTTCACAGATGAGGAAACTGAGGCCCAGAGCTGTTAAAGAGCTTGCTCCAGGTCACACAGAGAAGTCAGGCTTCACAGGCTGAACTCTCAACCATTACTCTCTATTCTCTCAGCTTCCTCGGACAGTCATGGGATTAAATGTCCAACTCAGCCACATGCCTGGTGTCCAGCAAGTGCCCCATGGGTGGAAGATGTTACTCAGGGAAGACATCTGGGCTCAGGGATGGGGGGTGAAGGGTGGGAGGCGGGCATGGGCGGGGCTTTGCAGGAGGGCCTGGGTGAGGAAGGCCAGAGCACGGAAATGGCTGTCGAGAGTCCTGGGGGCGTCTCCACCTTGGCACCAGGGCAGAGATATAACTTTAGGAGCCAAGAAAGCCTGGAGATGCCTCTGCAGGAGTTCTGAAGTTCTGCTCACTCTGGAGTCAGAAAAACCTGGATCCAAATCCCAGCCCTGCCCCGTCCCACTGTGTGATCTTGAGCAAGTCTACTTGCCTTTCTGAGCTCTGTACCCTCTTCTGTAAAGGGGCAGGGGGAGGGGATTAATCACATGGAACAGATGAAAATATTTTATAGTTTTTATTTATTTATTTATTTATTTTTCCCCAAAACCCCAGTAGATAGTTGTATGTCACAGTTTCACATCCTTCTAGTTGCCGTATGTGGGACGCGGCCTCAGCATGGCTGGAGAAGCGGTGCGTCGGTGTGTGCCCGGGATCCAAACCCGGGCCGCCAGCAGCGGAGCGCACGCACTTAACCGCTAAGCCACAGGGCCGGCCCCAGATGAAAATATTTTAAAAGGTGACAGCAACAGTCCAAGGCTGAATTCCCATTGAGGAGAGGACAGTGGCCATACCTCCACCCCATCCAATCCAAACACAGCCCAAGACACAGGACATGAAGCACAGTGCTGGAAAGAGTTCCTTTATTTGGGGACAGTGCCCAGGCCAGGTCGGTGGGAAGAAGCAGGCACAGACCCAGTGCCAGGCAGGGGCCCTTCAGGGTTGACAGAGGAGACAGCGGGTGGTTGAAGGATGCTCTCAGCTGCAGGTACCAGGCCCAGGACAGGAGAGGATGTCAGATATTGGGCAGTGAGCCTGCTCAGTGCCCGCAGGGGCCAGAAATTGGTAACCCAAGATTTTCCCACCCCCAATGCCCACAAGGGGGCCAAGAGGGCAGCCTCTTCGTCCTCCTTCCCCTCAGTGTGGAATCCAGGCCCGAGGGGGTCAGATTCTGCAGAGGCCAGACAGAGAGGGCACTCAGGGCGGTAGCCCTGCCTCCGCTGGGACCACCACCCCTGGAGAGAAGGCAGCAGCCAGAATAGCAAACACTTTAATGGAGGCTGCGGCAACCTGCCCCACAGCACACACGGCACACAGGGGCTTCAGAGCAGCTCGCCTTCTCAGAGGAAAACCAAACCACACATGGCCCGGGCTCCTGCCCGTGGCCACAGAGCTGCAGGCCCAAGGCTCGCCTGGACTACCACCTACTGGTTCTCCTCCCTGCTGGCAGCATGAGGGGGTAAAGACAGGTGGGCTCAGCCAGGCTCCCAGACACAGGGCCCAGGCTGAGTCCTGGCCCCAGCCAACACCCAGAGAGAACCCCACACCTGGAGGAGGGAGAAGGGAGGGGTGTGGCTCATGTGGGGGCCATTGGGAGGGAGTCATTGCCCTTAGGGCTGCCCCATTGAGAAGACGGTGCAGGACACTAAGGGGACCCGAGGGGCAGGAGTCGGGTGGAGAAGGAGCTGAGACTCTGCCGGCTGGCCAGGTACTCACAGTGTCTGGTAGGTGCTGCCCTTGGCCTTGAGGAAGCGCAGGACAAAGAAGGCCACCGCCTGCAGGCTCAGCACCAGCACAACGCCCCCAGTGAAGCTGGCCCCGTCAAAGCCAGGGCTGTGGGCTTCGGGGACCGGGGGGCTCCCTGCAGGGTGGAGGTCATAGCAGGATACTATGGACCAGCCCCACCCCAATAACCGGCACAGGTCACCTGGAGGCCCCAGTCCTCACTATGGGAGCCTTGAACAGCAGGCTCAGAAGTTCAGTCCAGATCCTGTGGGCAGTTGGGGAGTGCCTGGTGGGAGGGACAGTGCCTGGCTGGGGAGGGCGGGGCCTTGGCTCCAGCCCTGGCTCTGTTCCTGAGTTGTTCTGTGGCTTGATGCCTCTCACACCCTCTCCGGGCCTCCTGGTCACATGGACTAGATGGTGACTGAGCTCCCTTCCAGCCTCCCTCTCCCACACTGGCCTAACAGGGTGAGGATGGACCCAGAACTGGGGCGTCTAGAGACCCTCGGCTCAGAGGCCCTTTTGGCCTTGGGTCTCAGGGTTCACAGCCAGATACAGATGATATGGTCTCCTTTCAGGATTCCTAAGTCCCGAGATCCTGGAGTCACCCAGTGTCAGAGTCCTTACTCAGAGAGGGAGGGAGCAGAGGAAGAGTGGAGGCCCACACCCTACTGAGTGGATAAATGGAGACTAGACAATGTACATCAGAGGGAGAAGCTGGGCTCTGAGGGCCAGACCTGTCCAAAGTCACCTCACGGTAAGGACAGAGCCAGACTCACACCGACTCACCCTGACCCTTTCCCCTGCCCCGCCTTAGGGCCCACAGTTGCCAGGCTGTTTGAGTGGCTCCCAGCTGGGCCACGTTAGCCATCAACTCCCACCAGGGATTCCATTTCAGATCCTGGGCCAGGTGCCCAGTGCAGGGCAGGGCTGGTGGTGGAAGATCATTCTGGGGCAGTGGGCAGTGGGTCCACCTCCCAGAGGGCGTAGCTTGTGTAAGGGGGTCTGAGAATATGAAGGGCAAAGGGGCCCAGCTGCAGCACCAGAGAAGGACACTGGGGGAAGAGGAGCAGAAGAGGGAAGAAACGAGTTGCACAGACCTATCTGGGGCTCGAGCCGGAGGGAGCTGAGCCATCAATAATTCAGCCTCCGAGATCACATTTCTGGCTTTAATTAAACAAGAGCCTCTTCAGCCATCCCTGCCAAGCCTGCTGACCTCCAGGTCCTGAGGGGCAGTGGGAACCACGGGGTGGGGTTCCTGCCTCTGTTCTGCTGGGAACCTGCTCTGTGACCCTCTCTGGGCCTGGAGATTGCAGTAGGTAGTCACTGAGGACATCTTATTGACAATCTGAGCCAGCACCCTCAGCACCTGAACCAGTACCCTCAGCACCTGAGCCAGTACCCTCAGCAGGTCCTGCGGGCTCACCTGAGTTCTCAGAACTGGTACTGGGGAGAAGGGATGGGAACCATCATTTCTTGATCACCTTCTGTGCCTCAGACATGGAACTAGGCGCTATACATCCTCTCATAAAATCCTCACAGCCACTCTGTGAGGTAGTACCCAACCCTTTTTACAGGTGAGGAAATAGGCCCAGAGGGAGAAGCCACAGGGCTGAGGTCACAGAGCACATCAGGGCCGGAGCCCAGCTCTGTCCCTCCCTGGACCTCTAGTCCTCCCGCCACCCCATTCCTCAGGTAGTGCCTACCTGTTGTGATTGTCTTCGGTTCATAGGTGGGGTGGTGATGGGCAGCTGAAGAGACAGGGAATCCATAACAAATCAGCCTTCCCACCCCCCGACTCCCATCAAGACCACAGCCCAGGCCAACAGCTGGACTTGTGACTCAGACCAGGCCCTCTGTCCCGGGTCTATGGTCACCCAAAGTACTTTCAAGCCTTAGTTCACACAATTCCTTCCACCAGATGTACCTTCTCTCCCTCTCTACCTTTAAGCATCATCTCTGATGCCACCTCCTCCAGGAAGCCCTCCCCGCATTCCATTCTGAATTTCCAAAGTCCTCACTATGCTTTAAACTAGAAGAGCTAACTCCCCCATCTCATCCACGGGCCTGTCCTGGATCAATTCACAGATGAGGAAATAGGGCAGAGAGGGGAAAGGACTTCTCAGTGAGCTGAAGGCAGAACTGAACTGGACCTGGGTGTTCATGGGCATAGTCCACTTCCTGAGGGGAGGCTGATTCCTTCCTGAAGGGCAGGCTGTGGCTGGGGACACCTCAGCCCCCTCCCTCTAACTTGGCTTAAGCCAGCGGGAGTCCCCTTACCTGGACATGACTCTGAGTGGTTGTAGACAGAGCAACCCTCCTTGACCACCTCAGCTTGGGCCACACAGTGTCCTGGTGGGAGAAGGTGCAGGGAAGAGGTGTGGGGAGAGGGGCCAAGGCCGTGGGGTCCAGAACTGGGGACACTCAACTTGGGGAGGGCTCAACTCCATACCTGGCTCCTCTGGCCGACATTGCTCCCACACACAGCCAGAGAGGTTGTGTGCTCTGTCCCCCTCCACACAATGCTCACAGAGCTTCAGCTGTTTGCAGGCCCCTTGGACAGCTGGCCAGATGTTCATGCGGAGCAGGGCTCCTCGCCCAAAGCCCAAAGCTCCTTTACCTGGGAGTGGGGTGGGAGCAACTCCTTGACCCCAGCTACAGACACTCTTCCCTACCACTGTGGCTATCACCCCTCTGCACACATACACTCACCCAGATCCCCTAAGCCCCACCACACACCTGGAGTTTCCACAAACACATGGCTACACACACCTAGAACCTCCCTGACATTCACCCAGAGCCCCCTCTCTTTGCATACACCTGGGGTTCCCAGAGCCATTTGGAGCCGCCGCCCCCAGACACACCTGAAGCTCCCTAATCCCTCACATCTGGAGCCTATATACACAGACAGGGCTCCACACGCAGCCAGAGCCCCCTTCAACACATCCCTGACGTCCTGCACACATCTGGAAAGCCCCCTCCTGCCCCCTAAGCCCAGACTGCTCCTGGGCAGGCAGCTGGGTGAAGGGCACGCTGTACCTGCCCCTGCCCGGGCCCCAACCAGACCCTGGCCCGCGTTACCAGCCACAGCGAGCTGGGCACACAGGAGGAGGCAGCAGCAGCCGCCACAGAGGGCAGCCCGGAGGGCGCGGGGTCCCGGCGCGGCCATGGGCGCGGGGTCAGGGCCTGGGGGTCGGCGGAGAGCTGGTGTGCTGCGTCCCTTCTGGACTCGGCTCCGCCGGGGTGTGGGGAGCGAGACCCAGGCAACGCGGGCGTGGCCAGGTGGGCGTGGTTGGGCCGGGGGCGTGGCCAGTGGCGCAACCAGGTGGGCCGGGGTTTGTTGGTTCGGGGCGGGGCCATATAGGGGCGTGGCTAGTGGCCGCGGTCAGGAGGAGCTGGGTCCGGTGGTCTGGGGCGGGGCTCAGGCAAAAGGGGAGGGGTCCAGGACTAGTCGCCGACCTGGTCCCTGGATGCCCCGCCCGCAGCTTCACCAAAACTCTGCTGAGTGGGGAGTTATTATTCCTACTTCACAGGCGAGGAAACTGAGGCTCAGAGAAGGTGAGTGACTAGTCGGAGGTCCCAGTTAGTGGCAAAATCTGGATTTGAAGCGAGGTCACTTTCCTGCCTCCTCGCCTCGGCGCAGGCGGGGCTTTGCCGAGTGCACCCTCCAACCAGGCCCCACGACTGTGGGGACAGGGTGGCCCCTAGGCTCTGGCTGCTCACGTCGCTTCACCCCTGGCGCCCTGCTCTCTTCTGTCCCTCAGCCCACCACGTCTGCCTCCGACCCACCACACCCTCTGCCCAAGTCACCCGTCTCATTGTTACTGGGACAATCGGGTCTTTCTGCACCCTTCCCCTCGGCCTTGCCTCCTGCCCTGGCACCTCCTGCCCTGGCACCTCCTGCCCAGGCACCCTCCTCTTCTGGTTCTTCCTCTGCAGCCATGTCTCAGGTTCCTTAGAGGACACCTCCTCTTCCTCCCCACCCCCAGCCCCCCACCCCCGCCTTCTTCCCTTCCTCTTCCCCCTATCTGCTTCTCCTTTTCCTCCTTCCCCCTCTTCGTTGCTCGTGGCCCAGTTCAGTCCCGAGCCCTATTCCACCTCTCCTGGGTCATCTCGGCTATTCCTTTGCCATCAGTTCCCATTTGAAAACCAACAAATGTCGTCTCCATCGCCAGCTGCCACACCTGTAACTAATAATACATAGTTAACAATTACTGACCACTTACTACTAGCAGAATATACATTCTACTAAGAGATTTTACTTGCAGCTTCTCATCTCGTGTATACAACTACCTTCTAGGCATGGGTTTTGTTATCCCCAGTTTGTAGGCTTCAGAAGAAAAATCACCCGCCCAGTGGCACACAGTTACAACTAGGCAGGCCAGGATGTGAACCCGGGACCCAAGAAGACCAGAGGCTACTCTCCCCTCTGCTGTACCTCCTGTGGGTCCATCTCCTTCCGGGGCACTTCCACCTGATGTCTCTCAGGCCCCTGAAACTGTCTGGTCCCTCTTCCCCACTCAGGGAGCCCCCATCAATCCCCCCAGCGACCCAAGTGGAAACCATGGTCTCCTCTTCACATCCTCCCTCTGTCTCAGCCCCCAGATTAAAATCCTGCAGATTCTGCCTCTACGTATCTCCTGGGTCCTGCTCCCTTGTCTTCCCTTTGCTGGTTTTGCTGCCCCTCAGCCTCCGGGTCCCTCCCCAAATCAGCCCTCAGAGTGCAGCGCTCTATTGAAACCATGGATTTGACCAAGTCTCTTCTAGTTAATAGCTTGGCCTCCACAACACTGTGATTGCTGGCTCTAGAAGTCTCTCCAGCATGTCTTGGGCTCACCCCAACACCTTCCTACTCTCCAAGAAGATAGAACAGCCCCTCCCCCAATACACACCTTCTTTTATACCTCCTTGCCTTTATCCTATAGCTGTTCTCTCTCCTGGAGGCTCCTCTTCCTCCCTTGACTCCATCTGTCTGGCAAACTAATCTTTCAAGACACCACTAAAGGGCCACCTCCTGCAGGAAGCCCTCTGTGACGTCTCAGAGCAAGGCTGAGCTGCTGCAGCACTCGTCTCAGCTGGTAGATCTGAATTCATCTGCCTTCCTGCACCTGAGCCCTCACTCCTCACCGTCTCTCACCTGAGTGACTGCAGTGACCTCCTAGTAGGACTCCTGCTTCTACATCCCCTCCAGTCTGTTTTCCACTCAGCAGTAAGTGATCTTTTGAAAACGTAGGTGAAATCATATCACACCCCTGCCTAAGCCCACCAGTAGCTCCCATCTCTCTGCTTTCCGTGACTTACCTGATCTTCCCACTGCCTACCTCTCCGAGCTCAACTCCTACCTCCCTCTTTGGCTCATTGGGCTCCAGACACACCAGCCTCCTTTCTATTCCTCAAACATATCAACTCCTTCCCTCCTCAGCAACTTTGCACTTGCTGTGCCCTCTCCTTGAAACTCTTCTATTCTCTCTCCAAGAGACTCACTCCATGACCTCCCTACTTAAAAGAGGTCTCCTGCTTATTCTGCATCACGACACCTTTTTTCTTCAGAGCATGTGTCAAATGTATGATTAACTAGTCATTTGTTTTCTAGTCTCTAAGTTCCATGAAGGCAGGAACTATGTGTATCTTCTTCTGTAGCTGACTCCCTGCACACATAAGGGCTAAGGAGGTGTTTATTAAATAACCATACTGTACCATGTTGTGGCTGTTTGTGTACATGTTTGTCTGTCCCACTGGTCTGTGAGACCTCAAAGGCTCCCTACTCAATATATTAAGTACTGTTTTGTAGATTGTCCATCTCTCCCTGTCAGAAGGAAGCTCCATGAAGAAGGCGGGGATTTTTGTTCATTGCTGTATCCTCTGTGTCTAGAACCCTGCCTGGAAAATAGTAGATGCTCAATAAATATTCACTGAATATTGAAAATGCAGGGATGTGGCTGGATCATCTCTCTATCTGTAGCACCCACTCAAACCCAAGACCAGGGGAAATCTAAGTGAATGTTGGCTGAATGAATGAATGGGTCTTTGAAGAATGTGTGCACTGACGATGCCCAGATTCTCGGGGCTTGGGCAAGGAGCTTGTGTGGATATTATCTGTGTCTCTCTCACTCACACCTCCCTTGAGAGCCTAGGTCCCCAGATTGATGAAGGGAAAAGAGGTAAGGAAAGCAGTCTTACCTGGAAGTGAGTGCTCATGGCCATCTAGTGGCCACCTGGGGAACTGCAGGTATTGTCTGCCCTAGTCAAACCACTCCCAGCCCCTTCTGGGAATATAGAGACATCCTGGCTTCACATCCCAGCTCTGCCATTTACTGTGTGGTTTGGGGCAAGTCATTTGGCTTTTCTGGGATTCACCTATGAAATGGGAATGCAGAGTTGTTATAAGCACTGGGCTCTGATCTGGCACCTGGTAGGTGGGAAGGATTGGAGGGGCTGTCATTGGTGGGGAGGAAGCAAGGATGTAGGGCAGAGGGCATGAGGAGGAGAGAAGAGGAAGAGCTGCCCCTTCCTCTAGAGAGCAGGTCTTTGGGGAAGAGAGACCTGGTTGGCAGTGATGGCCTCAACTGTCCAGTTGGCATGGGGCAGTTTTGGAGCATGAGAGAAAGTGCACAAATAAAAATCCATAGCCTCACTCGAGTCTCTTGGGTCTCCGGGGTTTCTCAGGGTTGGAAACATCACTGCATTCTTTTCCTCCCTGGCTGCCTGAGGATCGACCTCCATCGTGAACAACACAGTACTATCCGGATCAGGATGTTCTGGCCAATCAACTACTTCAGTGGAAGCATGGTCATCGATATCTTCACCCTGGGAAGGCAACAGTACCTAAGACAGAAATTTGGGGAAAACTAGCCAAGATGTACAAGACCACACCAGATGTCGTCTTTGTATTTGGATTCAGAACCCATTTTGGTGGTGGTAAAGCAAAGCTTGGGCAGGATTTATGATTCCTTGGATTATGCAAAGAAAAATGAACCCAAACACAGCCTTGCAAGACATGGCCTGCATGAGGAGAAGACCTCAAGAAAACAGCAAATGGAATGTGAGAATGGAATGAAGGTCAGGGGGACCCCAAAGGTCAACGGTGGTGCTGGCAAAAAGAAGGACCAAAGATTCTGCAATGACTTTATCTGTGGTGATTGTGCAGATTTTTCATGAGAGGATTAATAATCTATGAAAATTAAAAGAAAAAATTATCATTACCATTCAGAATAGCAGATGACAGTCTCTCACACACGCCTTTCATGCCAACTCCCAGCAGCCTTCACCCCTGTCAGAGACCAGCTGGACAGTTGTTGGCACCCAGCTCTGATGGTAAAAGTGGATCCCTGAGTCCCAGAGTGCTGCTGCCCGTGTACTCTCTCTCTCTGACGCCCCCACCTTCCTTGACACTGCACACCTTACTACTCTGTTTTCCTTCTCTTTCTCCAGATGCTGCTTTTTAGTTTAATCATCCAGTCAACAGTTATTTGTTGACCACTTGCTACGTGCCAGGGGCTGTTCCCCAGCGGAGAAGAGAACAGTCTCTACCTTCATGGAGCTTATATTCTGGTGGGGCTGACACGTAGTAAAAAAAGAAAATACATGAATAAATATAGAATTGCAGGAGTGCTGAGTTATCTGAAAAATAATAAATCAAGGAAGGGAGGGAGAGAGTGATGGGGAGAGGAGTGGTAATCTAGGAGAGAGATCAGGGAAGCCTGCTTCAGAAGAGGTGGCTTGGGTGCAGAGACCTGAATGAAGTGAAGGGGTTCTAGGCGGAGGGAACAGCCAGTGCAAAGGCCCAGGAGCAAGAACGCTCTTATCCCCAGTCTGTGCCTTCGCTGGTGGGGTGCCCTGAGGCTCCTCCTCCTCTCTGCTCCCTCCCCTGGGGGATGACATCTACCCCTAGAACCTCACTTACTGCCTGCATACCTGTGCCTCCTGGGTGTCCTCCTCCTACCAGATATACTATTGGTGGCCAACACAGCCAATGCTGATAAGGTGCTAGGCGTTCACCACAATCCTATGAGGTAGACACTAACATCATCCCTATCTTACAGATGAGAAGAGAGGCACAAAGAGCCTAAGAAACTCACCCAAAGTCACACAGCTAGGAAATGGAGGAATTGGGATTTGAATCCAGTCTACACTCCTGACCACCTCCACCCGCTCAGCACCCTAAACTAACCACGTCCAACCAGAAGTGCATCATCTTTCCCAGCCCCAACCCTCTCCTCTTCCCGTGTACCCTGCCACCAGCCTGTCGTCTCCTTCCCCCTGCCCCACGCTGACGGTGGGAGCTGCAGTAGTGCTGTGTTGCGGGGAGAAGTCGGTGGGGCCTGGGATCTGGGCCCCTCTGGTTTCCTCAAGCCCTAACCTGATCCCTCCCCGCCACCGCCATCCCACAGGCCTGGGTGATTCCAGTGAGGATCAAAGCTAGAGAAAGAGGGAGGAGGAGCAGCCAGGTCCCCTCCCCCAGGACTGGCCATATCTGTCACCTCTGGAGAAGTCACTGGCTGGAGGGGTGTGTGTGGTTCCCTGGGACTAAGGACAGGCAGAGCTAGGGAAGAGGGAGCTTCTCCTCCATGCCCTACCCTGCCAGGATGCCTGAGATGGGAGGTTGAGAGAGGCTGCCCTGGGGACTGAGCTGCCAGGTTTTCTGCTTCCAAGTTCTTCCCAGCTCCCCTCTCCTCCTGCTTCAGAGAAGTGCCCCCCCTATACCACCCTGCTGGCTCTCCAGATCCTTGAATAAATAATTCAGGTTTTGAAATCTTGCCAGGCCCCCCCCTCCCGTGCTGAGAGGGCGCTATTGGGCTGACATGAGTGACGTCACCCAGCTCCTTATCCCAGCCCCAGCATCACCAGGACCTGCCCGGCAGCAACTTACCTGCCTGGTCACTGTGAGTCGAGACCCTCTACCCTGTCCCACTCACCCTGGGGCCCACTCACCACAGTCACTTAGTATCTTCATTCCAAGGTTCAATAACCCTCATCACTTAGCTGTGTCACCTCAATACCTCAGTACTTGTGACAGGGTCATGGTGACCTGAAGTCCCATCACCTGGACACTCCATCTTCTCTTTCCCTGCCACCGCCTCTGCTACGCTGGGATCCCTGAACCCCATCGCACCACAGAGTCACCCCGACACTGCTATGGTTGCCCTGGGGGCTTCCTTCTTTACGTCAGCGACCCAAGCCACCATCCCCCAAGATCCTGTCACCGTGCTCATACCGTCACTGCCACCCACCTCCCTGCTCCCTCGTGCTCCTGTCACCATCATCTCAGGGCCCCATCATCTTGGCAACCCCCGTCATCCTCAGCGGGGACGCCCATTCAGCCCCATCACTCGATCTCCATCACCTGAATTCCGTCAGCCTGTCTCTGCCACCCGAAAGTCCCATCACCCCACAACCTATCCAGTCCCCTTTCCGCTCCCCCTACACATCCTCCGCAGCCTCCCCGAGACTTCTCCAAGGATCTCCCACCAGCGCCCCCGAAACCCCCAGCCCGCAGAGGGCGCCGCGTCAAGGACAGCGCGGGCCAACTCGGGAGGGGGCGGGGCCGCGGCCACGGTCGCTTTTTATGAATGGGGGAGCGGGCGGTGCGAGGCCTTATTACTATGCCGCGCGACGCGCTGCGCTCCAGCGCGACGGGCCCATTGGCTGGCAGGCCGCTGACGTCACTGAACCGGTGGCCGGGGGCGGGGCGGGGCGGGGTGACTCACGCCGCTTCTCCCGCGGCCGCGGGGGCTTCTCGGGGTCCGCGCACATCTTGCACCGTCCGGACCCGAGCGGAACCTCCCCTCGGCCCAGCCGCGCCCAGTCCCGAGAGGTGAGTAGCAGGCCCAGCCGCGAGCACCAGGCGTCCGAGAGTGCACGCAGGGTGCTGGGACGCTGGGCCGGCGGGTTAGCGGGGGTCGGAGGTCGAGACCCGGAATCCCGATTCTGGGCTAGCAGGCTAGCACCCAGTGTCCGGATGCTGAGAGCTGTCAGCTGGGTGAGCCGGGGCGGCTGAGTACTCCTATAGCGACCCGAGGTCATCTGAAGTTGGGCCGGCAGGAGGCGTCTAGGGCAGGGACCCAGGCGTCCGAGCAGGAGGAGGTGTCTGACTTGGGGATCCAGACATCCGGGCAGGAGGCGGAGTCAGGCCCAAGATCCAGGTGTCCGAGCAGGAGGGGTCTGACTCAGGATCCTGACTTTCAGGAGATGGTGTCTATTCCAAAGACCCAATGGTTCAGGCAGAAAGAGGGGTCCGGCCTGGGACAAAAGTCTGGGCAAGTGTCTGTTGGGGCGGGGTGTGGTGAGTTCCTAGGTGTTCTTACCCCAGGAGTGCAAGGTGGGGGCTGGTGAGAGCTTCACGCGCCTTCCCGGGGGGCGGAGCCTGGGGCTGGCAGTACTGAGAATCGTGAGGGGTCTGGCAGCCTGAGAAACTGAGCGTCATCCTCCCTCATAGGGAGGGAGCAGAGCAGCTCTCAGTCTTGAGATGTGTTTCCCTCCCCCAGTCCTGGGTCTTTCTCAGCATCTCCTGGATCCTACGGGTCCCCATCCGTTTATGGTAGTCCTTCATCTGGTTCTCCTCTGGTCACACACGTGGGAGCAAGAGGCCTGCAGGACCCAGGGAGTTGGAAGGAAGCGTGAAGAGACCCAGGACAGGGATCCTGCTGGCCCGGGGGCATGGGAGAGGACAAAGGTATCCTAGAAGGAGCCCTGGGGCATGAGTGGGGGGACAAGGCATTGTGACCCAGCCAGTTACCCTGAGGGAGAGACCCCCACCACGTATCCCCAGGGGCACCGCACCCCCTCCAGACTCCTCCACCCAGCACCTAGCCCTGCCAGCTTCTCACAGGGCCTTTCTTCTACAGGTACCATAATGTGGGGTGCAAGCAGTCCCCTGGCTTGGCTCTCCGCTGGCCCAGGCAACGTGAACGTGAGCAGTGTGGGCTCAGCAGAGGGGCCCACGGGCCCAGCTGCACCGCTGCCCTCACCCAGGGCCTGGGATGTAGTGCTGTGCATCTCTGGCACCCTGGTGTCCTGTGAGAACGCACTGGTGGTGGCCATCATTGTGGGCACTCCTGCCTTCCGTGCCCCCATGTTCCTGCTGGTGGGCAACCTGGCCGTGGCAGACCTGCTGGCGGGCCTGGGCCTGGTCCTGCACTTTGCTGCTGTCTTCTGCATCGGCTCGGCAGAGATGAGCCTGGTGCTTGTTGGCGTCCTGGCGATGGCCTTTACTGCCAGCATTGGCAGCCTACTGGCCATCACAGTAGATCGCTACCTTTCTCTGTACAATGCCCTCACCTACTACTCAGAGACAACCATGACGCGGACCTATGTGATGCTGGCCCTAGTGTGGGGGGGCGCACTGGGCCTGGGGCTGCTGCCTGTGCTGGCCTGGAACTGCCTGGATGCCCGGGCCACGTGTGGCGTGGTATATCCACTCTCCAAGAACCATCTGGTGGTCCTGGCCGTTGCCTTCTTCATGGTGTTTGGCATCATGCTGCAGCTCTATGCCCAGATCTGCCGCATCGTCTGCCGCCATGCCCAGCAGATTGCCCTCCAACGGCACCTGCTGCCCGCCTCCCACTACGTGGCCACCCGCAAGGGCATCGCCACACTGGCCGTGGTGCTTGGCGCCTTTGCCGCCTGCTGGCTGCCCTTCACCGTCTACTGCCTGCTGGGTGATGCCCACTCCCCACCCCTCTACACCTATCTCACCCTGCTCCCTGCCACCTACAACTCCATGATCAACCCCATCATCTATGCCTTCCGCAACCAGGACGTGCAGAAGGTGTTGTGGGCCATCTGCTGCTGCTGCTCCTCTTCCAAGATCCTCTTCCGATCCCGCTCCCCCAGTGATGTCTAGTCGCATCCTGGTGACCCTTCAGCCCTGATCACTACAGAATTCCAGAATGTTAGGTCCTCCAGGAGTTCGTTCCAACCCCCTAGCTCCACACCCGCAAGACCCAGCTGGTTCTGGAGTTCTAGGACATTGGGTGTTTCACAGGATTCTGTTCAGATCCCTGCAGGGCCCGGCTGGCTCCATGGTTCTAGAATGTTCAGGTGGTCAGGGTTCCACTCAGAAATGTCCCACAGCCAAGCTGGCTTGGAGTTCCAGAATTCTGCTGGGTGTTTTACAGTGCCATTCCAAGTCCCCAACCTTCCGCCTCCCTTGACCTTGACCATGTCACTTTACTTTCGAGTTTCTGAGCTAAAGAGTCAGAGAGGTTAGTCACTCAGTTGCCTAGACAGGACAAAGAGAAAGATTTTTCTATATATATGTACACAAAGAGAGTATCTATTTATGATTTATTTATTTATTTATGAATTTATTTATGGGAGGTAAGGGGGAAAAAAGAGACCCACATGTTGAAATCCAGGCCATACCAGGGTACTCCCAATCCCCACACCCCCATTTCTGACCTCAGTTCCTAGAGGGGGGAAAGGGAGAAAGAGAAACCACGTATTTTGTTATTATTTTTGCTTATTTTTTATCGAAGAGATCATAGAAACCAGAGCCTTCTCCCCAGGCCCGCCCCCCTCGGGTTTGCAGGGGGAATACACCAGCCTCTGGTTTTTTATTTTTTTAAGAAGCCGTCACCTGAGCAACCGAGAATTCCTCTGCGCTGGGGGCCAGCTGCCCTCTGGTGGCCGTTTGGGGAAAACTGCAGCCCGGTCAGACAGCCGTGACCAGACAGAGCAACCCCAACGCCACTCCAGCCTGGTGTCCAGTGCCACAGCCAGGGCCTGGGGGCCAGGCCTCACCCAGCAGTGCCCTAGAGGAGGCAGGGCACGAGTCAACACCTGACCCCTCTGCCAACCGGGGTATGGCTCCCAGTGCTTCCCTATTCCTGTCCCCAACCCAACCCTCAATAAAAAATGATTTTGTGATAAATATGTTTCCTTCTGTGTACGTGGAGAGGGTGGAATGGGGCCTGATGGGGGAGAGCCTGGAATGGGAGTATTTGGCCAGGCCTGAGGGCCTGTTGGGGGATCTGGGGAGCTGGAGACCCAGGGTGGAGTGTGGCTGGCAGGTGACACCCCTTCCTCAGGATGCCAATCTGATGGGCCTTTCTGCTCTGACTTGGGCACCTCCCTCTGGAGACAGGAACCAGGGGTGATGGACCTTTCTTGGGTTGAGGATGCCCACATCCTGCCCACATTAGCTTGAGTTTGGGGCTTTGGTATGTAGTATATGCTCAAAGTATGTCAGTTTCCTTAATAACAACAGCCCCTTCTAACCGCGGTGTTTACTGTGTGCTGGGCACCGTGCAAAGTCTGTGTTATCTCATTTGTGCCTAACAAGCACCCATGGCACAGGTAATATTGTCTCCATTTTACAAATGAGGAAACTGAGGCCGAGAGAGGGTTAGTGACTGGCCCAAGGGAACATCTGTTTCCAGAACCTGTGCTCTGTCAACTGGCCAATGGCCTCTCATCTCCTTCCTTCCCAAGCCTGGGGCTTAGGACATCCTGGACCATGACTTGTGTTGGGGTTCATTCTCAGAGCCAGCAGCCACATTTGGGAGGTGGTTGGATGGGGTCTGGTCATTCTGGAGCTGGAAGAGCTTCTTTCCTAAGCAATGATGAGTGATGGTAAGTGTATGCATGTGCCCTTGTGTGCATTTGAGGACATAAATGTGTAGGCCCCTGAGGTTTGGGTGTTTTGGAAGCAGAAAGAATGGGTTCACAGGCAAGGGCAGGAGCAGGTTTGGGGTGTGGCTGAAGAGGAAGCCCTGACTAGCCAAGCCTCCCAGCTTCCCAGGCCTCACAGGAGTGCAAAGCCTGGAGGTAGGGCCCTCAGAGCATTCTGGCCCACCCTTTCATTGTACATATGGGGAGACTGAGGCCTGAAGAGGAGCAGCCACTTGCTCAGACTCACATAGCTGTGCCAGGCTGGGAATTGGGTCTTTTCTCCATTTCCCTGGCCAGAGCTCTTTTGCCTGGTGTTCAAGACCCCTCCCCAACAGTGGCCACAGGAGTCCAAGGGGAGTGGACATGCCAACAGGGGCTGGCAGAGCCGGTGGAGGGCAGGCCTGGACTGAGCTACACACAACTCCAGTCAGGCACAAAGTGGGGAGGCCCCACCAGGTCAGGTCAAGCCTTATCTTCTCTCCCCACCTTCATGGAAGGTCACTGAGAAAAGACCCCCACTCAGCAAGCACCTCCCCCTTGCCAAGCTTTGGGCCAAACAGTTCACACAATATCACCACGGCCTCTGGGCTGGTATTATTATTCTCCCCATTTTACAGAAGAGGGAGTTGAGACTCTGAGATTAATGGGCCTTCATTCATTCACTGCCATCCTTATGGACAGCTTAAATCCCAGCCGGGAGAGACAGTAGTAGAGAGATAAGTTAAAAATAAGGTAACGTCAGGGGTCAGCCCAGTGGCATAGCAGTTAAGTTCGCGCGTTCTGCCTCAGCGGCCTGGGGTTTGCAGGTTCGGATCCTGGGCGCAGACCTGCATATTGCTCATGAATCCATGCCATGGCAGCATCCCATATACAAAGTAGAGGAAGATTGGCAACAGATGTTAGCTCAAGGCCAATCTTAATGTCAGAGAGTGATAAGTCCTCAGAGAAAAACAAAGTAGGGAAGGGGCACAGGGAGCGTGTGCAATTTTGAAATAATAGGCTGAGACAGGCCTGACTGAAGGGGACATTTGATTTGCCTAAAGTCACACAGTTAGTAAGGAGTTGAGCTGGGATTTGAACCCAGGTCCATTTGACCCCAAATCTGTTTCTTTCCTGGGTGAAGGAGTGGGTTTCAGGAGCAGCTCAGAAACAGCAAGCATGGACACCTGTGCAGGAAGGCCTGTCCCTGGGCTGGGGAAAAGTTGGGGGTCTCCAGACTAACCCCAGACCTTAGGGAGGGGCAGGGGAGGGAAGGGCCTCCTTGCTGCCCTCACCACACTCCTGAGGATCTCCTATCACTGTCCAGAAGGAGAGGGGCCCGGTGGCCATCCTACCCTCGGCAGGCTCAGCCCGTTGCTTCCCCATCCCAGCTTCTGGCTCCAGGGCCCAGCAGGGCCTGATGCTTGTCAGCTTCGTGTCCGGGAGGGCCTGTGGGGGGCCCCCATGCTGTGGGTCCTCCTCTGTCTGTCAGGGTGTGGTATGATGGGTCTGAGGCATTTCTGGGAATCTGTATCTGGGGTCCTGGGCCCACCCTGAGGGGTGTCTGAGTCTGCCCTTGGGTTGGAGCCTGTGTGCGTGGTGGGCCTGGCTGGCTTCTCCCTCCTCCCGGGGTTCTGCTGGTACGGCTCAGGTCCTCCCTATACCCCTGCCCCGTGCTTCCTCCAGGAAGCCTCCTCGGCCGAGCCCTCCTGTGGCTGTGAAGCTGTGGTTTATACAACATGCCTTGCTACACTTCTCCTTAGGAAACATTTATAGAGAAGTCTTGCTTTCCTCATCAGAATGGGGGCCCCTGAAGGCAGGGCTGTGTTTCCCCTCCAACTGAGGGTCCCTGAGAGAAGGGACATGTCTGCCCCCTCAGACTGAAGCCTTCTATGTCTTTTTCAGCCTCAGACTCATCTGGTGCTCAGCCTGGGGCTGCTCAGTACGACATGCCCGTGTGTGTGTGTGTGTGCGTGTGTGTTTGGGGGTTAGCCAAGCCGTCCAGCCTCTCTGCCTCTGCCAGTTTTCCAAACCCATGCCTGATCCCAGCCAGCTACAGAGGCCCAGAAGGGTGAGCTGGGCAGTGTGGGCTCCTGGGATGGGAGGAGGCAAGGGCTGGGGCCCAGAGCCCTGCCTTCCTGCTGGGGTAGGCCCTAGGGTGGGGGTGGGGCCCATCTCTCCTCCCCTTCTTCCCAGGTCCTGTGTGGGGAGGTGGGCAGCCCTGAGTGCTGAGCCCCCGCTGGGGCCATGACCACCTCTCCCTGCAATAAGTGAGGAGACAGCAGCTATTAATATAAGATGAGTTCACGGGCTCACAGCTTCCGCAGGCTGGAAAACAGGCTCCCAGGGCTGGGGGCTGCGGCAAGTCTCGTTCTGTCAGATTCTCTCCCAGAGCCTGCAGCCCGGCAGCCCTGCATCCCCCAGCTCCGTACACGCTGAGACGTGTGCGCACGCTGGCACATGCACATGGACACGTGCACACGGGCACACAAAGGCACACGTGGGGGTCCAGGCCTCTGGCTGTTCAGAAAACACACATGCCCACACATCCAGACATGCACTACCCAGACGTATCTGCAGACTGGTACTCACACACTTGTGCACATATATCATTGCACACGTGGACACACACCATGTCAACTTCATGTCCACATGCTTGCATGCAGGAACACATAGTTAAATGTATGTACGTGCCCTTGCACACATGTGTATATACACAGAGACTTACCCTTGGCAAGTGTAAGTGTGCACATGGGTCCAGATATGCTTGCATACCCAGCCCCATTTGCACACCCACATATATACAGACACAAAACTGCACATGTGTATACAGATGGTATCCATAGTCCTGCATACAGGACCACATTCAAGGACTTGAATGCATGTACCTGCCCTTTTGCACACAGTGTACACACAGTTGCACAGGCTCTCCACTGCTATCTGTGCTCAGCAATTATGAATTCACAGGCAGACCCTTGGTTTCTAGCACCATCAAGCTGGCTCAGCCTCCCCTCCCTGTCTCCCAACGCCCCCACCAGCCTCATGACAGGCAGCTCGTGCTCCTGCCAACCCCAATGCCTGCCTTCAGCTTCCCTCCCCCCAGGGGTCCCCAGATCCCTGATTAACCCCCTCGCTAACTGGCCACCAGCCCCTTGACTTTGCTGCAGGCCTTCTCAGGAGCTGGGAGCAAAAGGCTGCAAATTGGCCAAGCAGGAGGGGTCTGGGGAATAGAGTGCGGGGGCAGGGTGAGGGTGCTGTGTGCCCAGTGCCTGGCTGGAGCCAGGCAGGGCACCCCCTCTACCAGGGCCAGGGGGAACACCGGCATCATAATCTCTCAGGACGGCACTCCTACGATTCAGGTGCACACAGTCCCATGAAACCTTCCCTGCACGCACATTTACACACACTCCCAAGTCGTGTGAATGGACATGTTCCACCCCACTTCTTCACACAAAGGCATGTGAACATTTGCACATATCCAGTACACTCATGAACAAACTCAGCACGCATGCAAGCAAAATCTTACACATCCATAAATTCACCCGCCGGATATGCAGAGACTATTTATATATGTACATCCAAACACACCTCACCTAACACACGAATGCAGTCACATGTGTACAGGCTTGCTAACACATGCACGCACACGTTACATGTGCCTATGAATGTACTCCTAAGTACACTTGGAGGCATGCATGAACACACATCCACGTGTTAGGACACACCCGTGCAGTCCAGGCATGCACGCACACAGCACTCACATGTGTGTGCATACCTTGATGAACAAGCTACCAAGTGGCCACAGAATAGGGAGAACCCCCTTTCAGCCTGCCTCTGGCTTTGCAGAGGGAGAGGAAGCGTGAGGTTCACGCAGTCTACCGGTGCAGGGAGGAGAGGAGGAGTGGAACCCACCCAGGTTCCAAGTTGCCTTTTCCCAGCCTCCATGTTAATGCCTAAGCCTGGGACCTCCTCTGGGTTTCCCTCAGCCTTCAGGGCTTTCAGACAGAAGGGCAGAGCTTCTGGCTTTAGCCTCTGTAGTTCCTTTCTCCTTGGCTCTGGGCCCAAGCCCACAGGGGTTTCTACTCTTTCGTAGACAGCCTGGAGCATTGGAAGAGGGTTTCTATTTCCATGCCTGCTGCCAACTTGCTGTGTGACTTTGGGCAAGTTGCTGTGTCTCTCTGTGCCTCATTTCCTCAACTGTAAAATAGGAATAAAAAGCTTTGTGTTGGTAACTCTCCCAGGACTGGCCTGAGGAGTCCATGGGGTCATGTTTGTAGATGTGCTCTACTCAGGCACACATATCTGGAAGAGGTGTTAGTTCCCAAGATGGTGAGATGCCAGAGGGGAGGAACCACATCATGGTCAGCTCCTCACTGAGTAGGTGAGGAAGCTGAGGTCGAGAGAGGCAGCAGCAAGGTGGAAGTTAGAAGACCCGACCTCTGACTTCTCAGCCAGGAAGTCTGCTCCTCTTTAAATACGTACGCAGAGTGTGAGCAGGTGTGAGGGTGTCTATGCAGGACTCCTGCCACCATGGTACTGACAATTCTACCAGGAGAGATTCCTGGGGTGGGAAAGGCTTTTTTTGTCCTCCAGCTTCAGACCCGCCCCCCTCTAGACACCCTCATCTCCTGGGGCTGGGGAGCAGTCCACGGGGAGCCCCTGAAACTGCTCCCAGCCTCATGATCCAGGAGGGAACTAGCTGACAGCTACCCCAGAGCAGAACTTACAGGAAACGGTGCCAGGTTGCCCTGGCCACTGGGCAGCCAGGAGGAGGCAGTGAGAAACTGGTGGAGGCAGTGCGAAGGGAGGGGTGGCTCCTGAGGACTTTGTGTGAGGTTTGCCTGCGATTGCGTGTGTTCCTGTAACTGTGTGCTGATCTGTCCTTGTTTGCACAAAGCCAGGGCTCTGTGTGCAGTGTGTGCATGTGCTCCTGGGCCTGGGTTCTCAGGTGTGCCCACTCACGTACCTCTTTGCATGTAAACATGTCTGAGTGTGCATAAACGTGTGCATCTGAACAGGTGTGTGAGTATGTACCGAGCAGGATGTGTCTGTGGGAAGCCCCAGCCCATTCCTAGGGAACCCACTTTGTTCCCAGGCAGCTGAGAGTGCAGGGTGCTTTCAACTCTAAAAGTCTGCGATAGCTGGGCCCTGTCCAGCTCACTTGATTTCAAAGCAAGAGCAAAAATAACTGGCACCAGAGGGTGGGGTTGACGAGAACAGAAAACCTTTACCATGCCCCCTACGACACTAAAGACCATGATTCTAGATGGAGCAATACCGAAGGCTGTTGAAGTTGCATGGTGGACGGCTGGAGCTCTGGCTGCAAAGACCCATGTTCGAGCTGCGGCTCTGCTCCTGGCCAGCTACGTGATCTCAGGCAACTCACTCAACCTCCCGGAACCTGTTTTTCTCATGTGTAAAGTGGGGAACCCTTGCCTCATAAGGTTGACATAAGGTGTATGCAGTCTTGGGCAGGTAGTAGGCACTTAACTAAATGCTCATTCCTCTCAGGATTAGCCAAAGTGAAGCACAGGGTCACAGCTCCCAAGCAGAGGAGCCGGAATTTAAGCTTGGGCCTCCTGCTTCCGAGAACCACATTCCTTCCCTTCAACTCCCCAGCAAGGGCGGCTCCCGACACCACCATTTTGTCTTCTCCCAGGGCGGGCGATTGGCTGCCTGTCAGTCACCGGCCTCGGGAAGCCAAGTGCTGACTAAACACAGGCCTGAGCAGGAGGGTGGAGCGAGGGGCTCCGGCAGGGCAAGCCGGCTCCCGCGCCCCCTCCCCTGCACCCCACGTCCAGCGATGAGCTCAGAGCGGCTGGCGCAGCAGTTGCTGACAATTCAAAACTTCTGCCCCCTCTCCTGGGACGCCAGTGGGTGACTCTCTCTCAACAGCAGGCGTGACCAACGGAGTCACCAACCCTGCTCCCGCCCCTCTCCCTGGGCCACCCCACTGCGTCTGCTGGCCCCGGAACTCGGTGTCTGCTCATAAATTACCCCCAGGGACAGTTACCCGCAGCAGCTGTGCTCGGAACAAC